CTCTACCGACTGAGCTAGCCGGGCTTGTTGTGTGATGCACCCACATGTCTTTTCAAAGGAGTCACCCAACACCCGCCCACTCCCAAGTTCTCTATTCATTCCACACAACTAGAGATGTGGTGGGGGTGGGGGTAGGAGAGCGGCCTCCTGCCCCCCTCTCCTCTCAGAGCATGTTGGGTAAGACACACTCCTTTGAACATAATCACATTTCCTGGTATTGTGTGCCAATCCTGCAAAATTGCGCAAGTGCTCACTGATAAACAAAACCCTCTCAGCCAGACTGACATTGCAACTTCACCTGAGGAACAGGAGCATTGAAATAAAATAATTTACTTTAAGTAATGTGGTGCATGAAGCTTTTTGACAAGTCTACAGGTCTGTTAACCAGTCACTGTGAATGTTTGTCAAATGCTGCCAGGAGTGAATAAAACCCTTTGTAAACCCACAACAAAACACTGCTTTTTGATCTGCGCATGCTCAACCTTCAGTAACAATCCTCACCCTGAACTGGGGCCTGGGCTCCTCCAAGGACTCGGTGGGGGTGTCCAGGGTGCCCCACCTGTAGGCCAGCTCCGCCTCTCGCCTCTTCCAGCGCTCCAGAAACAACGTCGCCCACACAACATTGAAGAGGGCAAATACCACACAGCAGATATCCTGACTGGTCTGTGAGTGGGCATGAGAGAATCAAAGCTACTTATATAATCTTTAAAAGTATGATTATGCCATACAGCTTTGTGTAGGTACTGTGTGCTGCCTCAACTTGATATAACGTCTCTTATAATATAAAATGTATGAGAGAAGACAGCAAAATATAATAGAAATATATGTGTACTGATGCTGATAGAAACAAATCAGCATCAGTACACATATATTTTGACAGTTAAAGTGTGTTGTTGAGTAATATTGCAAGTGCTTGAAAAGACAGATCTTGAATAATAAATCTTGTTAGGGAAGAGGTTTCAAGTACCTGGTCAGCCTCTGCGAGTATCCAGAGCAGAAAGCCAATGACAGCAGGGTAAAGCATTGAGTTTGTGTAGAAACCCAGCCAGGCAAAATACATGCCGATCTTCACTCCAAAGTAGTCACAGATGTCATCTACAAAGCAGATAACATTTTATATTAACTAATATTGACACTTTGAGAAGAAGCATCATATCTGAAACAAGCTCATATTTTTTAAAGTAGAAATTATTGCAACCTGGTATTAACAGTAAGGGGAGCTGTTTCTTTAAAAAATAAAATGTGGATATTTTCCTACCCAGGGGCTGCCTCTCACACACAGCCTGGACCCAAGATGTCATCAGCTGGTTGAGGATCCTCTGCTCGTGGAGAGGAAACATTTGTTGGATCACACCCCGAGCCACCAGCTCTGGAACTAAAGACACATCATGAAATGCATAAGACATTTGGTCCTCCATACTTACTTGTCAGATCAGATGAATGCAATATTGTCATAAGCCTACATTATTCCAAATTACTCAAATGTAGCTTTGCATTTTAATTCCACTGCACAAAATACTGACGCTATTTAGATATGGAAATTTTAACAGTATTTAAAAAAGTGTGAGTCATAATAAATGACTGCATACTGATTGGCTGTCCCTCCAGGAAGTGAATGTTGTGAAGCACCTCCCCCTGTTTGGCTCGCAGGTTGTCCAGCCAATACTTTATAATGCTCTGACGCTCCTTAAAACCAGACACGGGGAGAAAGAAAAGATAACACATAATAATTAGACATATATTCTTAAATTCTGAAATATGACTGCAAAAGACAGACTAACAGAGTCTTTAATAACACACCCAAACTAACAATATGTTAATATTAACGACAACTAATTTTGACCTCTAACCTGTGAGGTAAAAAAGCAAAGCTCGCTCTCTATGTTTTCATAGATGTTGTCTTCCTCACAGGAAAAGCGCCGCATCCCGCCACCAAACTGCGGTTTGACGGCCTTGTGCATGCCCATCTGCTCCGCTCCACGCAGTAAGCTGAGGGTGAGGATAGAGGGTAAATGAGCAGCAGGATTAAACCCGATGGTGCAAAGTGTGTAGAGGCTGAGCTGCAGATGTTTGATAGATTAGTGCATTAAGGGTAAGTACACAACAAACTGTAACACACACGCACACAGCAGTAACTGCTAACTGTCAATGTGGTTTCTAAAATTCTGAATTTGCTGATGTGCTTAAAGGAATAGTTTGACATTTTGGTTATAGACACAACACCCCGTAACCGTAAGACCACAAGTAAAAAAACAAGCTTTAACTTGCAAACCAGGCTAGCTTCCTATATATATATATATATATAACAGAGACAACAGCAAGGCCCCGCTCAAAGGCCAGGTTTGTGGAAGTCTCTCCATTAAATAGCTAGACCCCCCTCATCTCAGCCTAATGGATCCACTTACTGCTCATCCCACATTAACGCGCCAAAACCAGAAGCCTGTACACTCAGAAGTAAGAACACCGAACCGAGGCTTTAATCTGTGTTGCGCATCAGACCTAGCAACGGTCGTTATTCAGCCCAAATCCTCAAGTCATACAACAAGTCACCACCTAATACAAAAGAGCCACCAAAAGTAAATGCCTTCTCTTCTTCTCTAAGATTCATTATGATAAGAGAAATATAATAGAAGCA